TGGCAAAGCAATAGTGTGACACGCCAACTAGACACTACTCCATATCCATTCCCTCGGGATATGAGTGAGTGAGTCAGCCATTGTTAATAGCCGAAGCATCTTGGTTCCCACCACCATGTCCAAGTTGCATTTGTTTAATCCTAACCCAGTGAGAGTATCACCCCTTTTAATATATATTGCGCATCGATCATTACTTTGTGACCCAATAAAAAAGAAACACATATCTTTTTGCGTTGGTTCTCTGTTCTTACGTGATGGCGGAGTATTATTATATTGTTGAGACGCAGTGGATAGGGTATCCTAACGACACGTTATACGAAAAATCTCTTAAATATTATGGAAATGAATTCGATGAATGTTCTATAACCTTCTCGAAGTCGAAAGTTCTAGATTTTTCTATTTTTTTATACAAAACTTCTAGATTTTGTATCACCAGACGTGTTATTTTTATTTTGGCACACAAATTAGTGGCGGTTCTTTATACTTTGAAACGATAGTTTCTGTTTTTTTTTTTTCCTTTTCCGAGTGTCTCGAACGTAATGACAAATGGGGACAATTATTTGCTTACGTTTATGCAACTAAAAATTAATATCTTCTTAAAAATGATTGTTTCTCGTTGAAGTTTCCTTTTATCGTGTAACGTCTTTTCTTTTCCGTCACCCTTTTGAATCCTTTATTTTAAATTGTGGATCAAATCAAATCTGCTAGGACAGGCAAAATATCTAGTTGTGATGATTAATTGCTCATCCATAATTAATTTCTTAACCTAATGTATCAAATGAATTATTTTCTTATCCGTAAATGTCAAATTTGTTCACGAAAAAAAAAAAAAACATGTTAATGCGCTTTTGGGAAGAACAATTTTATAACATCATCATATGATTTTATGTATAAAATAGCATGTAATTTTTTGTTTTTACTACACTCGTCGTGTGTTTAATTGAAAATTGATATTTTACATGAAAATTAATAAAAAAATTGTTTTTTAATTTATTATTTGTAAATTTAAAATTAAAGATAGGCGTGGGTATCTTTGTAAGGAAATTAAAAGAAATAAGTGACTTTACCAGAAGAAAGAAAGAAAGAAGTGATGTAATCCAAAAAAAAAAAAGAAAAAAAAAAGAAATAAGTGACTTGATTTATATTTCAAAGGTCATTGAAGAAGACGGAGAGTGAGTGAAGTTTATCAGAAGAGATATGTGCTTTAAACTATTCTTTAAATTCTTAGAGACGCAAGCCTATTGGACTATTGGTGGTTGCAACTTGCAACTTGCATGGGTAAGGACTACTCGAAACAATTCAAATTAACTACCAATAATAAAAGGATCTTTGACCAGGATCTTTGACCAAATGAGGGTATTTGACGTTTTGATTTACCAATTTGGTATTTGGTTGGTATATATTATGTTGGGGGTCTTCAAGTTCCACCCAGAGGTCCAACGGATTTGAGTCCCACCCCCTCCTCGCGAAACACTGTGTTCTTTTTTTTTTTGGTCACATAGTCCCGCCCCCGCCTTCTTTGGAATTGAATTTTTTACTTTTATTTTTAATTTTAAATTCCCCCGGGATTTCAAACCGTGTGGCAAGTGACATAATCCTAGAGACGTGGATGGGCCGAACCGAACTGGATTTTTTGAAAAACCGAACCGAATTAGTTTAAATGGTTCGGTTCGGAAGTGGTTCGGTTCGGTTCAAAACTGGTTCGATTCGGAAATGGTTCGGTTCAGTTAGGAAGTGGTTCGAAACCGGTTCGGGTTGACCTTCTTTTGAAAAGAAAAAAAATTAAAAATTTAAAAAATAAAGTTATAAAAATTAATTTGATTTGATTTGAAAATAGTTCGGAATCGGTTCGATTCTTAAATTGGTTCTAAAAATCGGTTCGGTTCTTAAACCTGTTTTAAAAACCGGTTCGGTTCATGAACTGGTTCTTTAAAAACCGGTTCGGTTCATAAACTGATTTTTAAAAATTAGTTATTTTATAGGACGGTTCGGTTCGGTTCATGGTTCGACCCACTTTTTTGATTATTTTGCACGTCCCTGCATAATCCCAACCGTTCGGGTCCCTATATATACTGAAAATTATTTTTACTCTTTCCCCGTTCATTCATTCTTATTCATCTTTCACTCTCTCAAAAATTCTTCCAAACCTCTTTCTTTCCATTCATCTTTCTGCAACTTTGTTCACCTGGCCAACTTTGTTCTAAAATTCTTCCAAACCTCTTTCTTTCCATTCACCTATTAAAAACACTAAGCTAAGTTAACCATTTCCCAAATTTACACTGCATTTCAAAACTTGGTCCTTTTTAAATTTATTTATTTTAATTATATAGTAATTATTTCTTAGTTATTGTTTTAATTAGTAATTAGATGCAATAATTTTTTTTGTTATTATTTTTATGTTTTAATTAGGCATGTGTAAATAATTATATTTAGATATTTGATATAATATTTAGTCATTGATGAGTAGTGTCTAGTTGTTTAATAATGCAATTTAGAATAATTGACCTGTGATTAATATTTAGGATTTTTTTTATACATGGGGTTTATTTTAATTAGTGAATATTTATTATAATTTTTTAAATTAATTATTTTGTATTATCCTAAAACATGTATAATTAATTATATTTAGAGACTTTACATAATGTTTAGAGGTTAATGAGAGTAGGGTTTAGTTTTTTAATAATATAATTTAGAATAATTGATTTGCAATTAACATTTAGGGTTTTTTTTTTTATACATAGGGTTTATTTTAATTAGTGAATAGTTATAATTTTTGGAATTAATTTTTTGATGTTATCCTAACATAGACATGTATAATTAATTATATGTACAGATTTTATATAATGCTTATTGGTTAATGAATAGTGTTTAATTTTTTACTAACGTAATTTAGAATAATTAACTTGATTTATCTCATTTCTAATTTCCCCTATTTCTTCTTCTCTAACATGTTTGCTATTTTCTTATAGATATAGGGTCAGTTTATGCAATCATATATTACAATGGTAGAATGTATGAAAGTGCTTCTGGATAGACATTTGAGGGGCAAACGAAAGGAATACAAATTCGATACGAAGTGGGATTGCATGATTTAAAATCAAATATTGCAGAGAAATGGAAGCTCGGTCCAATCAATCGGTGTCTCGGTTAACCAGCCACTATCGTACAATTGAAAAATTTACGGTGCTGGAAATTGCTGATGATGATGATGTTGATATGATGTTCAATATGTTTTAACGACAGTCTCTTAAACAATAGTATGCAGTAACGATGCTTGAGTTGTATGCTGACTATGATTATTGTATTTCACATGTTATATTCATGTGTTAGTTGAATGTGATTGAGTTTTAGTATGTGTAGATCAATCTAACGCTTTATTCTGGAATGCTAATCCGCACTATATTTATATTAATTGGGAACACCCATATCAAGAACAAATTGTTGTTGGGAGGAATGATGGTTGTTAGCAAATGGGGGATGAATTATATGTTAATCAAGAATTTGAAAGTAAGGATGCGATACAGAAGGAAATCAATTGTTATTGTATGAAGAATTATCATATTGCTTTTGTGGAGGAAAGCAAAAAAATAAGTTGCTTATGAAATGTGTTAATGATGCTGAAGGATGTCCTTGGAGGGTGCGAGCAATGTTACTGAGATGGCGAGATCGGTGGATTGTTACTAGATGGGGAGGTAAACACACTTGTGTAAACCCTTAACTTTTGCAGGACCACATACAGCTCGATTCTAACTTCATTTGTTCATGTATTCTTGGTATGACTACTAAATATTAATGATGTTTGTCTAAAAAAAATAATGATGGTGTAATGTACTTGTATTTTACGATTTATTCTCCCATTTTTTTATGAGGCATGGTTCAAGTGAATCCATCAATTAGCATTGCACTTACTCATGAGAGAATTTATAGACTTCATGGTTATAAAGTGTCCTATCGAAAAGCTTAGTAGGCCAAACAAAAAGCCATAGTAAAATTGTTTGGTGATTGAGAAGAGTCGTATACTTATCTGGAAAGATGGTTAAAGTACATTGGTTTGATCGAAAAAATAGGGGAAAAAAGGAATCCAATATACCTTAATTTTTCTTGCGCTTATGGTTTGATCCACTAACAATTCGTTCCATTCAAATATTCTCAAACCTAAAAAGAAACTACAAACAACACATACACGCCACATCATAAACCCCCACCAAAAAAAATAAAAAAGGAAAGAAACTTATTTTGGATTATAGAGGATGAATAATGTGATCAAATGAAAGGTGGAAAATACATATCTTTCAACAACCCACTTTCTGATTTGAGACATAACTTTCAGATATTATTACAAATCATTAAAAAAATGGAAATTTAGTATGTCACCTATTAGATGGATGGCCTTAATTCCCAATGAAACAAGCCGCCAAACAGCCACGAAGAGAAGGGGTTAATCTTGAATATTAAATTATACAAACTAGTCGAATCTATATATGTTTCAATCCAACCCACACCAGGTAAAACCTGTGTGAATTGCTTCAGGTAGTTTGTGGAAGAAAGCGTGCATCCCAAAGGAAGAAAGCGTGCAGAGAAGAAAGTGACGGCAACATTTAGGTCTTTGATATTATTCTTTTGTATTTTTTTAATAAATAAAAAAACAACCCGCGAGTTGATTCGTTTAACCCATGGGTTGGCTCAATTTTTTTCGAGCTGGCTCGAGTTGTCAGTTCATTTTTGCCAACCTAACTCGACTCATTTTATGCGGGTTACGAGCCAACCTGACGAGTTAGCTCATTTTTGTCATCCCTAATCAGACACATTGCCAGCAATTCGACCATAAATTCCATAATGCGCAATTAAAGAATGACTTATTAAATTTAGTTATGATTACATGTAATTCATTTGTTAAATGAAATATTTGTTAATGATTTAATAATGTATGTCATGGTAAAAAGCCTACCACCATTGTGATCCGCAAGTAAAAAGTCTAAAATAAGGTGTAATATGTAAGCTCACACGAAGCAGATAAGATCCTCTTCATCCTGCATCCAATCCTCGACGTTTGTAAAAAGTCGATCCAACCATGAAGTCTTAAGAGTACCACCCCTTAGATCAGATGAACTCGGGGTCCTCCTAAGAAGTTGAGAAACCAAACGTATGAAATCTTGTGTTTTGGACATGCCAGTAACAGGTTCACCATCCGTAGGAAGACTGGTGATCATTGCAACATCCTCGAGTGTTACAGTAACCTCTCTCGGAAGCATATAAAATGTTTGAGTTTCCGGTCTCCATCGCTCAACTGGAGCTGTGACTAATGAACTATCAATCAGCAAACGATAAAATATTAATCAAAATAAATCAATTAAATTGTTTCATAAGATTTTTTATATTAATTTTATATATGTAGCATATAAAATACCTCCATACGGGCCATCTGAGTAACACCAAGAAAACAAACACAACATAAATAAGGTACAATGGGCTCTGGAAAAACATCCAACCTGCTAGCCGTCCACTTCTGATATTCAGAGACTTATAATTCGGGTCCTCCATCCAAGCCACCTCTGAACGGTGTGTACATTGCATGAATAATATAGAATTGTCGCGAGTATCGGGATGAAGACGTCTCTCAGATAAATCACCGTATGCCATCCCTAAATAATGATAATATAAATAACGTTATTTTTTTTTTGTAAGCTACATAAATAACGTTATTAACACACTATAAAATGATAACACAAAAGTTTCAATTTAAAAAGTATAACAACAATTCACTAATTAAAAGAAACTCTAATATTAATCACAAATCAATTATTCTAAATTAGATTATTAAAAAACTAAAAACTACTCATTAACCACTGAGTATTAGGTAAAGTCTCTACATATAATTAATTACACAACACATATCTATGTTAGGATAAAACAAAAGAATTAATTTAAAAAATTATAACAACTATTCACTATTTAAAATAAATCATAAGTATTAATCACAAATCAATTATTCTAAATTATATTATTAAAAAACTAAACACTACTCATCAATGGCTAATTATTATGTCAAATATCTAAATATAATTAATCACACATGCTTGCGTTATAATATATCTAAATATTATCTAAATATATAATTATTATCTAATTATGTAATTACAAATTATCTAATTATTATCCGATTATATAAATTTTATCTAATTATCTAATTATACATGTCAAATATCTAATTATTATTTAAATTTATCTAATTATCTAAATATCTAAATATTATATAATTATCTAATTACATAAATATCTAATTATCTAAATATTAAACATAATATCTAAATACACATGTCAAATATTTAGAATAACATAAGAAATATTGCATCTAATAAGGAATAACTAATTAAAATAATTACTAAGAAATAATCATTATATAATTAAAATAAATATAATTAGACAAAAACAAATTTAGAAATGTGTAAAGTTGAGTAAAGAAAGGTTACCTTGTCAAATGTATAAGACGACCACACGTGTAGTTGTGTTTGCTGGAAAAGTTGAATCAAAGGAAAGTTACCTTGTCAAATGCAGAAGACCCCACTTGTGTTTGCTGGAAAATGGAAAGAAAACGGTTTAAATGAAAAAAAAATTCAGAAATGCTGCAACCCCCGGTTTGAATGGAAAGTGTTCGGTGGAAAAAAAAAATTGCTATAATCCCTCTGCAGCCGGGTTGAATGCAAAAACGTTGGCTGAAAAAAAAATTGCTCCCTTGTCAAATGCGCTGCTGCAAGCTTCCCTCGGCCAACGGAAAAAAATTGGGAAGAAAGATATTTTGAATGAAAAAGATTTGAATCAAAAAGATTTGGTAGAAACAGTGGAATAAAAAAATGGGGGTAAAAATTTTCGATACATTTTTATAAAGGGCTCGGATGGTTAGGATTGTGTCACTTCATATACGGTCCAAGTTCGTGCAAATTCAAAATTTAACAAAAATGGGGAGGAATCATTTGACTCCAGAGTAAGATTTAAAATTCTTACTCATCATCCTAACCCTTGATTTCCGTTCATCCAACGGTTAACATTTAATAAGTTACAACAATTAATTAATTATTAATTTTAAATAAATGCTAACCGTTGGATGAACGGAAATCAAGGGTTGGGATGAGGAGTAAAACTTTTAAATCTTACTCTGGAGTCAAATGATCCCTCCCCAACAAAAATAGATATTTTCGTATGTAATTTAACATGATCATGTCATGTAGAAGAATCTTAATTATTAATAATTAAATCAACGATGATAATTGTGTAACTTTATATTCTTATATTTTTTGTCTCTTTTCCTTTATTACTGTTAACTCACCCATGTATAATTATAATTACCCCACATGACATGATCATATTAATTAATATATAAGAGAATCCACTCCTCTTGCACATGGGAGGGATTCAAATCTGCTCGGCCCTGTGCGACTTGAAGATCCCCAACGATAATATATACTAATTAGATATCAAATTAGTAGATTAAAAGGTCAAACACTATCGTTTGGTCAAAGAGCTAATAATAAAACGCCAGCTAGACAAGAAAAAATTATTTATGTTAGGGTGAAAATTTTAAAAGGGTATTTTATTTTGAATTTTAAAAAGTAATAATTATTTTTTAATATTTCAAGTCTATGTGATTATTTAATGCTTATTATTTTTAATTTAGAAATCTTAAAAATATTTGAAGTAAACTATGACTATTATTTTAATTGAAGATATATTTATAACTTAATTTTATTTTATTTTTATTTTCAGATCTTTAAATGGATAATAATAATAACAATAATTTTTTATTTTTTATTAACTTTTTAAAATTTAATATGATTTTAAAATTTAATATGATTATTAATAATTATTTTTTTTTAAAAAAATAGAGACCATAAATAAACCGCTTCAACATAATATAAATTAAGTGACTTATTTTCTCTTTTCTTAGTAAGATGCCCTCGCATCTTTAATGTATACAAAACATTTAACACTGAATTTACAAATAATAAATTAAAAAGAGCTTTTATTTTATTTTATTTTCGTATATAATATCGATTTTTAATTAAACACACGATGAGTATGGTAACTAAACAAAAAAATAGCTGCATTACAAATAGTGTGCTGAGATATATAGTCCCACATTGATTGGATGGACAATTAATATGACCTATATAAGGCCTTGGGCATTCCCACCCCTTGAGCTAGCTTTTGGGGTGGTGATCCCAAGGTTCTTTATATGGTATCAGAGCTTGAGTGACTACTTTTAGGGTGGTGATCCCAAGGTTCTTTACAATATTTTTTTTATTTTAATTCCACTTTTTAAAGCGGGGGACGGTGAGGCTCTGATACCATGTAAAAAACATTGGGATCACCACCCCAAAAGCTAGCTCAAGGGGTGGGAGTGCCCAAGGCCTTATATAGGTCATATTAATTGTCCATACAATCAATGTGGGACTATATATCTCAACAAAGTGCAAGAAAATATTACGGGCCAATTGTTTTGGGATTACTTTATTTTATTTTTTTTCATTGAGGGCGGGCCTTGGGCTGTTGCGGAAGTAGCAAAGTACTAGTCTGGAACTTGTCACCAAATTTGCTTTTCTCAATTAATCTCAACCTTACATAACAAAAATTGGAAAATTTCCACCAGAGTTTTTTTTTTTCCTTTCTTTTTTAAGTCCATGATATAAGAAGATTCCCACTCAAGTTGCGAAAAATCATGTTGTAAAAGAAGACATCTTTCACCTCAGAGTATGATGTCAATTTTACTTAAAATCCTTCTTTGAATGTTTGCACGTAAAATTAATTTTTTATCACTTTTTTTGGGTAAAAATTTATCAAGAGTATCTTCTGCGATTGTACCCAAGTTTTTTTTTTTTTTTTTTTTTTTTTAAAAAATTCATATATTTCAATGAACATATACTTTTTAGGTGAAATGATAATAAAGACATGTTACTTTAATACTAGTAGTTAGGAGTTAGGACTTAACATGTTTAGGATTTTAAAGAACAAAAGATTGTTTCTAGGGTAATTATTCAATTAATTTTTCCACACAAAGGCACCCAATAGCCTAATGGTACGACGACATTCCGAGAGGGGCTATAATATAACCAATGAAGCAGGATAACTAATCAACATAATAAACTTCTTGAGGGGTGTTTGGTTGAAGGTTTTTGAGGAGAATGATAGGGAAATGTGAAGTGGGGAAATACAATAGCCATGTTTGGCTGAGAGAGTTTCATCATTTAGCGCGCGAATGCAAATGGCCGTACCAATTTGCTGACTACATATGTTCCCCTGTCACTTTCCAAATACCGCACAGACGGAGACGGAAACATGCAAGCGAAATGAAGAAGCAAAATAGTCTTCACCATCTTCCTTTATGTGGTCTGATTCCTTTCTCCAACCATCAGTGAGTAGGAAGGTTGGTTCGCGGGAGATAAGTTCGGAGGAAAAAAAAAAATTGTGTCTGTGGTTTTCGGTATTTTCCACACAAATGGCAGTGTTGTTCCCTTCATCCATGGTGTTACATTTTAATTTGAAGCCTTGCATGTAGGTGAAAAAATTTCTCCGGTGTTGAACCTGAGATTTCTGTTTTGTATCTGAGCTAACTATTTTCAATCTTCTCCACAAAGAATTATGGCTTCATCGAGGGACAAGGAACAAGCGCCGCCGCACCATCACCAGCCTCTCTTGAGCAGCCTCGTCGTCCGCCCTTCCCACAGCGAGGGCGGCGGCGGCGCCTCCGCCGGTGGTCGTTCCGGCGATTTCGAGCCCAGCGGACTCCACCGAGATCCTCCTCCCCCTTATTCCCGCGCCGATCGATATTCCGATGACCCTGGTTTGTTCCATCTCTTATGTCCGTTATGCTTATGATTCGAGTGATTGGGTTAGATTTTTGAATTTTTTGTTCCTAAAATTTGAAGAAACTTGTTCTGTTTATCTGTATGTTGCAATTTAGTTGGTTTCTGACAAAATTGGTGTCTGTTTTTTTGTTATTATTGTTTTCGAATATTGGACTTTGAAGTTGTAGATTTAGTTTTCAGTTCTTGCTACCCGTAAAACTTGTTTCAGTTTTGGTTTAATAGGTATTGGGTTTTATTTAATTATCAATTCAACTACTGATAACAACACCAATAGTTGTTGGTTCGTAATAACGAAACGTGAGAACAATTGGTGCCCATTGTTGCCGTGAAAACTTATCTATGATATAGTTTTTGAAGTCTGAATTGGTTAAAGCATGGTTTTCGCGTAGAATTGAATGGTTGAATTTGTAGCATTCGAATTAATTTGGGGGTTGGGTGAGAACAAAACTGTCATTTCTTGTTTTCTTTTTCTTTTTTGTTTTTGACTGATACTATCTATACAGATGTGGGTTTTGTTAGACCTGCTGTCTATTCATTATGTGCATGTCACGCATATGATTTCCCATCGATTATGGAGTGTCAACAGTGAATAAATTTTGCATTTGTGTGTTACAGCTCTGATGTTTCCTGCAAGATCTTGGGCCTTGAGGAAGGCATGTTGTTGTGACCTCAGCTTTGTATCATGATCTGGGATTTTATTTTTTTTAATTTAAAAGGGTTAGTAAGTGTCTTGGAAATAGTCCATTCTACATGAACATGTGGGGGGTTTTGCAGCACTAAATCTGTTGCATGGGTTCTCATTTTGCAGAGTCATGGTCATATGTTTGGTTTGGGATATTTGTGAAGGTAAAGACATGTCAAGTTTAATGAAATCTTGGATACAATTTGAAGTATTTGTCATACATGGTACAGTGGGCAATGCTTAGAACATCAATGTGGTTGCAGGATTTGTAGAGGACAGAAACTGACCATTAAAAATTGTTTCTGACGAATAACCTTAAGTTATAACCAAAGTTTGGCTGGTTTATCTAGGTTCCCAGCAAGAAGTTCTTTGTGGGTGGGTGAAATGCTAATTTGCTACCTTTGCGGAAGCTGACATGATATTTGGGAAGATAATATTCACTGATGATAAACTTCGTAGTGTTATTGGTTTATATGGTTTTTTTTTGTTGAACTCCTGGTTATTGATGATATATTTCTTTTATGCATTCTTTCTTTCACTCAATGATATATATTCTGTCAGCATGGTCTTCATTCTGTGCATTGTCTACTGCCATTTGTAGTTGTTTTTAACTTGCCTCAACTACTTGTTGCAGCAGGGTCTTCAACTACTGATGGTTTGAAAAATTGCTGATCCATGTCATCCCACATAAATTCCAAAGGCCCTCAACCTAAACCATTCAACCGACTGTGTTTGATGTAGGGTGTCGGTTTTAACAATTATGCGTTTAAGTTGGATGTAAATCAGCTTGTATATGGACCTTTGATTAATGAAGGCTTTGTGGTTATGCTGTAAAACTTTTTTAGTCCTTTTCCTTTGTTGACTTGTAACTGTGTTATTTATTATAAATGTCAGATGTTTTTATCCTTTGTTGTTATTGGATTTGAGTGCATTATCAACATAAACCAGTGTTAATAAATTGTGCTTCGTTCCATTTAATTAAGCTGAGATTTTTAGTAACATAGGTATCAGGATACACTGTTAAGACTTAAGTCAGTGTCTACTCCATGGAAACGTTCAAAGTCTGAGAAACAACCAAATCATTTAAGACAATTGACTTTTGTTTCGAAAATAAACAGGTCAATGACACCTTTACTATTCAATTTCAATTCAACTATTGTTTAGCCCCTGGCCATCATCTTTCATTAGCGTCCAATATCTCAGGATTCTTTACAGGCCCCCAATTCCCTTTGGCAAAAAGTAGAGATTAAAATCTAATTTTCAATTCATCGAAGCTGTTCTAATTAATAACTTTGACAGTTTTCTCTATTTACCTCTAGATTCCAATTCACCATGCTATAGATGGATTTGAATTTATTTGGATTAATATGCAACAAGATAATTCTTAGAAGGATAAAAACCAACTTATATTTCACTAAAAAGATGTCTCGTATATGTAATACAGATTTCATGGTCTGCATGTACAAGCTTGAGCACATGTCAAAGAAGGGAAGATAGGAAGTGATCATCAAACATCACTGAGAATGACTAAACAGTACCCCACAGGATCTTGACAACTAAAAAATCCATTCATTCATGGTCGTTGGCAACAATCAATTTTTTCAAAGGTGAACGGTGGGTTTTGACAACCCTGTTTGTAGCCACCGAATTAAAATTTTAATATCAGGGCTATTTTCGTAAACAATACTTCTTTTCCCATCTATATTTTACCTTCAATCAAACACGGATTTCATAAAATTTACCTAATTTACTCAGTAAAGTTTTTTCTCAACAAACAACTTTTTTTTTACATTTTCCTACCTATCTCACTTTATCTCACTTTCCAATCATTTCCCCATCAATTACATTTCCCTAGTATTCAAAAAATTTCTCCTTAACCAAACACCCCCTTAAGAAATATACTTGCCATAGATATCTTATTTGCTTTGTGTGACTGGTTAATCTTCATAAATTTTCTTTATGATGCTCCTAATTACTCACGTAAGAAAATATAGCAATTCTCTCTCAATACTACAACCACACAAAACCAAAAACTCAATTTTAATGAAGTACAAATATTTCAACAAAATACAATTAAAAGTGTAGGATGCGATGCAAGAGTATCTGATAATGATGTCCAAAAAGAAAGTTTGACCCCGTGCAATAACTATTTCAAAATGTTGGTACTTTAAAAACATTTCTCTCGTATAGAAAGTCTTTTGAGTATTGAACATAAATGTCTAGCAAAGAAGCTAGTGATTCTATTTACGAAAAAAAGGTAGAGATAATTGGCAAGAGATTGGACATAATTTCCAGCCAACAATCCGATGGTGCAAATCAATGGCGTATGTGTGAACACTTGGGAATGAATAGATGCTCTGAATTGATAGCAGTAGGAAATGCTCAAAATGCTAGGTGGTTCATTCTGTCGCTCAAAATGCTCAAAGCTAGAATTCCACAAGTGGTGATCGTGGGTGTAGTGGCGGTGATCCAAAGATGATGGGGTGAAAGCCCAGGACCCGGGTTAAGGGGCTTTGTCGAGTTCCACTGCTTAACTAGTGGGCTGTTATGGACCTTGACGTCACTAGCTTTTGGGGTGGTGATTAAATATAGATTTACTTAGGGTGTGCATGACAATCTTTTCGGAATTAATACTTTTTTAATTTTTGCTCCCGAAAGCAGACATGGATAAAAAATTCGTTTGGTAAAATCGATTTATATTTTGTTCCTGAGATGAACCGGTTTAATTGTTGTGCTGGAAAACAGAAAAAAGAATCAAAAAATTTGTTTTTTGTTCCCGGACACAAAATGAGAAACACTTGTCTCTCTCAATTACTCTCCACCACTACCATCATCACCACTGCCACCACCGTCCCACCATTGCCACCATCGTCGTACCACCATCACCACCGCCACCACCACCACCACCACCACTACCATCACTGTCACCACCATTATCACTACCACAATCACCAACCACCACCACGTGACCACTACTACCGCCATCGTCACCGCCATCACCACCACTACACTGCCGCCGCTACCACCACCATGTCATCATCATCACCATCGTCGCTGTCACTGCCGCCGGCGCCGCCACCACTACACCACCCCCACCGCCATGTCATTATCATCATCATCGTCGCAGCCACTGCCATCACCACCACTACCGCCGCCACCACCACTACCATTATCACGCCATTACCACCACCACTACACCACCGCCACCGCCACCGCCATGTCATCACCATCACCACCACTACTACCACCATCATCGCTGCGGCCATTGTTGTCACCACCACCACCTCTAGGTCACCGTCACTATCACCATCATCACCACCACCGTCACAACCATTATCACTACCATCACCGTCACCATCACCACCACCATCGCCGCAACCACTACCGTCACCATCACTACCATCACTACCACCACCATGCCACCATCTATGAAGCACCGATACTCCGAATTTTTTTTTCCAACGTATCCGATACGCGTATCGGGAACGTATTGTATCGTATCGACGAATTAATGGTCGTATCGAGAACGTATTTGGATCGTATCGAAAACGCCGTGTCGGAGTCGGTGCTTCATAGGCCACCATTACCACCACCACGGCCACCGCCATCATGCCATCACCATCACTACCACCACCACGACGCCACTACTAAACCACCATCATCGCCACCATCACCACACCATATGAAAAGGAAAGTGATGATTTGAAAAAAATTTATGCTTAATAGCATATTTTTTATTCTATTATTTGTTGTGTTATCAAACGCAATTCTCATTTTCAGAATAAAAATAAAACATGTTATAAAACACATTTTTTTTTCTGAGAAACTGTAAGCACAGAATTAGAAAAGAATTATTTCTTTTCAGAAACAGGGAACAAAATAGTCGTAGTGCACACCCTTATTGTATGGTTGGCTCAAACTGCCGTTATAGTCTTATAGACCACTGGTCTAGTGTTTCCATTGATTGATTACTGATGAAATGAGAGACATTTTTTTCCACCGATCCATCTATAAAAAGAGGTTCACCAATTAGCTTCCTTAATTAGTTGTTTGTTGCTTCTCCATTGGTTTGCAGCAAGCAAGTACGGCCTAAGAACTTAATTGCATGTACAAAACGAAGTCAAGGTCACCATTCCATCCTTCTCGATTAACAATATCTAGATTGCAACAGAAATTTGATGAAGGGCATTGCTAAGTGCTCTATACCACCACAACGTAGCTTTAGACAACAGTGGCTGGAACATCAAAAGGAAAGTAAGATCAAATGACTGAATTGGATGGTAACTTAAACCAAACCATCACCGGTGTATTTATTTTTTATTTATTTTTTTGAATAATCTCAAGGGTATTCTCCAGCGGTAACTGAAAACTAATCCCCATCGAGTATTGTCGGACCTTTTCGGGGGCAGCTATTCCAAATCCTTTTTTTTTTTTTTTTCATTTCTAGAGCTCGAACTCGAGACCTCTAGTTAAAAGACTCAGGTTTCTTATCACATGTTCCAAAGGAGTTTGGTCCACTAGTGTATTTAGATAGCTGCAGCCAATAATTTCTCTTAAAGATGAATAAAGATGGGCTTGAAGTCAAATGACAATAAGGAGATATGATGCTGAAATGAAAGTTAGTTTATATTTCAGTGTTTGGGAAGTAAACAAAATGATAAGGAGATGAGTGAATTCATTTTGGGTTTAAATTAAGGGTTTTATTATTCTCCTTTTACATAAGATAGTTATCTTATGTTGTAGAGAGAAAATAGGTGGGTCCCACCATTACAAGAAAAAAAAAAGTGAGGTGCTAAAATTGAAGTGACAGAATAGAAGAGAAGTTATCTTATGTAAAAGGAGAGTAATATTTTCCTTAAATTAAACCCTTAAATTATATAATTAACAGGATTTCAAGCATTTTACCATTTTGTGATGGGTTCCTCATTTTTGCTGTCACTGCTGATGAAAAAACTTGCAGCAAATATATTTACATAAGATACGGAGCCGGATCCTGATCCTGAAATTAAAAAAAAAAAAATTCCAAGATACGAAACCGGATCCTGGTGAAAGTAAGTGTTGCTGCAAATTTTCTGATCCGCAGCAACAGGAGAGCTATTAAAGCCTTTTGTGATTAAAGACTATGTATTAAACAGTAAATAAGCATTGCTTGTATACCATTTTAATCAAGAAGCGCATGGGAGATAAACAACATATCTGACACAAATAATATACCCCAAAAAAATCAAGATCAATTCCAAAATTGGGACCACACCCTCGGGGGGAAATGGTAACAATTCACATTTACATTACTATAGACAGGAATATGATTTAACTATACTTTCCATTTTACAAATTTGATTTTCATGACTCAGCTGAATGCAGCCAAGGTTACAAGTTTTCAATGTGCAATTCCATCTGGGAAAAGTCATATATGTTGGTGACTCATGGCTCATGACTGTTAACTCGAGTGTGAAGTTCCAACATTTCTTGGTGGTTTGGGTCCACCGAGAGTGCAGCGCGACAGTCTCTTAGAGCACCTAAGACATCACCTTTATGTTCATGGAATGCTGCACGTAGATGTAAGAGGTGCAGATCAGATTTAAATGCAATAGCTCTGGAGAGTTCCGCAATGGCTTCCTCTTCCTTATGATTGTCCATCAATACTGCAACCACATACACCAAACACATTGTTCAGCACTACTGTACTAGCTGCAATAAAACTATTCCGCAATAAAAAGTAAAATTTGTTATTGCAGTAGCACCCCCAACAATGACAACAATAGTGGACAATATCTAATATTTTGAACATGGCTGTAATTATTACTAAGGAGTGCTTAACAGTTAACAGCATATTAGTATCCTTAGACATTATGATTTATGATTATGCAAAGTTAAGAAAGATAAAATACTTACCAGCAGCACGATATCTATAAGGATACACTCGAAGTGGATCTAATCTAGTCACCATCTCCAGATCTGCCTTTGCGAGTTCACGATCACAGTACTCAGACCTCTTCTCATAGGCAGATGCATTGTTTTTTGCCTTCTCAATAAGTTCAGTCATTTCCATGTAAGCAGCTGTCTTATCATTTTTGAGACAATGAACACGAGCAAGACCCTGATGGGCTCGGGTGTGTCGGATTTTCAGTGCATTGATATAACAATCGGCAGCAGAGTCCAATTTTCCACAGTCAACATAAACACTACCAAGATTGTTCAGTGCCTGGAAAATTGAATGGATGTGTTAGAGATATAATATAAAACATTCAATCAAGTATCTTCACCTAACAGTTTAAGGTTTTAGTATAGTTGGTTCATGACATGATATCAAAGCATTTATCCAATGCATTGTCCACACTTTCAGGCCAAAGGAGTAAAGGACTCTTGCATGAGGGGCGTATTAGAGATTAAAAAAAAGGAAAACCACTCCCCATTAAATCCCGACTAGCAAGGGTGGGGCGAGGGCTTGAACGCAACTTTACCTTGCTTAATTACAAAGAGATTATTTCTCGGATTCAAACCCGTGACCTTTGAATCACAAAGGAACAGCTTATGTATTAGAGATATAATATAAAAAAACCATTAATGTGTTTTCACCTAGTAGCTTAAACTTTTGGGAGAGCTAATTCATGATAGGAAGAATAAGCAGTAAAATTATAAACTATTATGTACAAAGTTGCATAATTATATAGATATTATAAGAACATAGAGTACTAATAGCTAACAACTTTATGCCTTTATCAGTCCTCACGTATTGACATTAAAGGCTTGTTTATATCCTTTCACTGCATATCTATCACTTCAATTTTTTGTATTACCTACAGCTCAAACAACATAACTTCATAGTTCACCTTCCGAACTTTTTCACAGAGTGACCAAAGTTTACAACCACCAATCAACCATAATAAATGAAAAAGAATGCTATATTTACAAAATTTTTGTGTACAAACTTTTACAAACTTGACAATGTACTCTGGGGAGTACAAAAATAGAGGAATGTACTCCCGGGAGTACATAGGAAAATTTGTAAGAGTTTATTAACAAAAAATTTAGAAATATAACTTGTCTCATAAATGAATGTAAAAATCCAAAATTCAGATTGCAAGGGGATAGGGTGAAGAATCATTTTCATTTGAAGGACGCAGTTTATTGTTTGATGATACAATAAGTTGATATTCCTTATAAATAGCTGATACATTCTGTAAAGAGAATAGGAAACAGATTATATGCTTGCTGTATTTAGTTTAGTCCACCCCTAAAACTACTGTGAATACTGCAATTATAAATTTATGAGGCTTAGGCTGGATTTCTCACAAGTAACTCGCATCAGAAAAACTCTGATTCAAGTCAATGCAATCAAGGTGAATGCAGCAAGTAGACAAGCCAACTTCCAAGTGAATGATGGAAAAAGTGGCAACAGAGACAGACAGAAAGCAATTTAACCTCCCCTTCACATCCCATTTTCTTAGTTTGGTTTTACAATCCCCATAAAAGAACTAAAAGAAATTCATGATCAAATAGTGATATCATCTCCTTTAAAGGCAATATTAGGGTAAAATGGTGAAAAGTGAGAAGATAAAAGCTATGCAACATTAAAGGTCTCTTAGCTGTTAGGAATAGAACCATTCATAGCCTCCACCAAACAGCATAAGTTTTTTGGGAGAGTTGGTCCATAAGATGGTATCAGAACCTCAATGACCAAGGGGTCAGGGATTCAAACTTTACCGCCCTTGTTCTTCTAAAATGAAGTTGAATTTTAGCATGGTAAACATGGGCCTCTACATTGTCCAAGTTCAAGCCCAAAAGGCTCTTGCATGAGAGGGCGTGTTAGATAATGAATCTCCACCTAACAACTTATTCAATTTAGAAATTGGAAGTCTGTTCTTAACACATGCATGGCCAGCAGCTATTGAGTAGTGAAGTATTTTTCCAAAAGTAGTAGTACAATAGAACCATACCTGACCTTTGCGCAGATTATCTGAAGGACACCTCAAGGCATCTTCCAGAAGTGAAATAACAGTTGAAGAATATGATGAATCTAGACTAGAGTCAGCCAATGCATAGGCCTTTAGGAAGAAGGCCTCAAAAGACCTTTTTATACTAATAGACTCTTCAGCCTTCCTGAGACCTTCCTCGTAATGACCTGTATCATACAAGATCCACCCCTCATATACGAGTCGTTCATGGTCACTTGATGCATGTTGTCGAGCTAACTGTAAACTCCGCATAGCTGCCTCGGGACAGCCAAGCCTAAATCAAATAAATATATCAAATTTTTAGAGTTCTTAGCTTATTAAATTTAAGTCAGTATTTAGATAAATGGAAGAGAACCCTGACACCTAAGAATCTCCCTGTCCAGATACAATTTCACAGGGGTAACTTGGATTTCAAATGAAAATCTTATATGTTTTGGGTTTTTCCTCCTTTTCAGCTGAACTAATTGTCACAGAGGCAACTTTTAGATAAAAAAAAATTCAAGTGTATGTAACAGGCAGACTAAAAGTAGCTAGCTATGTTTGACCTGTCCTTTTAGTTAGTGTTTCGATATTTGTAAACATAAAACTCCAATTACCATGTCACATTTCCTTATACACATGATGATAAATTAGTTCAAGCCTTTAACAACTATTGACAACTACCAAACATTTGTAGCATTCTTTTTTGGATTACAATGACAGCATGGAGGTTTGAACTTATGACCTCCTGCACATTAACTAAGTCCTTCCCCACTAGCCCACTCCTAGCGGCTTCCACACATTCATAACATACCTCAACAGAAGCAATGACTGTCTGAAGTATAGAACACTTTTTGTAGCATCAGATTCAAGCATCTGGTAGATAACAGATAGAGACCCAATATCATCAACTGCAGACCAACAGTCATATAACCGTGCCCAACAATCTGCTGTTGTCCAATGTTCAACATGCTCACGCACAAGAGTACAGAGTTGGGATGCAGCTACACGCCCCTCAAACATTCTATAATCTGAACGCAGAGTAAGAATTGTTTGCACATCACAGAGAGCTGCTTTGTAGTCCTCAAGAGCCAGATAGATAAAAAAACGTATTTCCAAGCATTCTAATGAAAGTTTGAACCCAAGAATCCGATTGATTTCAGCCAGTGCAGCTTGAGCATTCTGTGTCCTCATTAAAGAGGCTGCCCTATACATGTAAGGGTATATAAGAGTAGGGTCCAGCTCACTTGCTTTCTCAAGGTCCACCCACCTTACATTACCATCACAATATAGAGATCTTTCCTGATACATCCATCCAAGTGGAGTAACAGAGGAAATAATAGAGTTGAGCTTCTCGTAAGATGAAAGCTTCTCGCCCTTTATAAAGTCCAGTCTAGCTAAACCTGCAATGGAATAAATATGGCCTGCATTTACAGCCCCATCAAAAAGACAACGTGCTTCATCGTATTCTTTTCTTAAGAGTCTTACACATCCCAATTTATGAAAAGCCAGAAGTCTCATCTTGTCATTTTCAGCAAAATCCACTAACCGTTCCAGGAAATGAGTTGTTGTGTCGGAACTAGAATTAAGGTTCATGGAAACTTCACTTAAGAAACAGAAAAGTGCAAATAAACCCGGCCCAACCATGAATGCTAGCTGCTGCCTATTTGCATGAATAAATATCTCCACCACCCGATTGTCATTCAAACAGTTTGGAAGATCACATATAAGGACCTGTAAACAAGATGCAGCAAGGACAGCTGAATTTTCATTAAGAGCATATTCCATGAGCTCCACAGCATCTTCTTTAGAGGAAACTAAAGATGCAAGTCTTCTATCACAAGCATCTTTAAGTCTATCACAACAAAACTTGTTTGCAAAAACTAATACCTCCAACAAAAGATTTGGAGGGACCTCAATTAAACAGCCAGTCAAACTGAAATAACTTATTGCCTTCATACCTGATGGAGAGATATTGTTTTCAGATAAATCTATAGTCTCAGAGAGCGATTCACTGAAATACCCCTTTAGCATTGCATGAAATGGTGCCGAAAGTTCAGAAATTTTTTGTCTATCACAAATCACTTTTTCATTTCCAATTGTAAAAGTAACATTTTGTGAAATGTGACTCTCGTTGGTCACTCTCTTCTGGGAACTTACATTTACATCAAATGGAAGTTGAGACGCTACATCTATGGGCCCAAACTCATTTGCACATTTACCACAAGTTGTTAGCAAATCGGCTATTAGCTCTTCCCCTTGCTTCTCATACTTCAACCATGCCCCAAATATAATCTTTTCATGAACAGTGTTGGCTCTCTGCCAAGCTTCCTGGAGGCTTCTACGCATAAGTTTAACTTCCCCAAGGCCCCTAAAGACCTGGTATTGTAACAAAAACAGATTCGATCTCTCTTGAGGAGGACGAGACTCAAGTTCTTCATGGATTTGAGCTAAAACTTCCACATAATCAATAGGTTTAAACAAGGGGAGTATAGGTGGTTGTGGGACCTTGACTAGAGATTCTCTATAGTAGATGACAGAAAACCACACACCCCAGTCCCCATCCAAAAAAAAAAAACACTTAATTAATTGAATTGGAAAAAAGTTAAGCTTCAAATTTAAATAAAGGAGCAGAGAAACTTACATTGAGGCAGAAGATGAGTATGATGACAATTTGGAAAGTTTCCCTCTTTCAATTTTGAGTGAAGACTGTGGATTCAAAGCATTTGGGTGTGCTTCTTTACAGGATTCAGCAGGGAATAAAGTCCTCATGGGGCATAAGAGATTAAACAAGTCCCGGATCTCCAGAAAATCACTACAAACTTCCTCTTCAAAATCAAAACTTTACAAATTGGGTGCACATTCCACTACTCTTAGCTCAGTAATTTCCAACCCCAGAAAAACAATAACACTTGTTTCCCCCTTATTGTTCCCCCCACCCCTCTCCCCCTTAGAAACAGAACAATCTCAAGCTAAAGGTCCTTTTTTTCAATGAATTTGGTGTAACTAACATGCAATAAAATAAATAAAGCAAAATTAACGGGCAAGTGATCCCATCTACAAAGGCTAAAACGAACTTTAAATCTTCCAAAAAGGAAATTCATATAATATAAACATTCTACTCTGCTTAGTCTCTTGAGTTCGGCATATAATAATGAATAACCTACAACGGCTACGAAAGATCTCGAGCAGAAAAATGTAACTCACCTGACCAACTCAGAAAATGTAACAAAAGAATTGAGAGAGAGAGAGAGAGAGCATAGAGATCAAAGTGAAAGGGAAGGGGGGTGGGGGGAATCAAATTGAAAATTTGGTACTTCAACTAACTTTACTTCAATTTTGTTAGTGCTTTTAGTTTGGTGAAAGGGAAAGAACCTCACTTTCATTCCTTTGGAACCATACAAATTGCGGCCACTGTTGCTTCATAGTTGAAAGTTGAAACTGCTAATGCCAGAGTTGACATTTTTTGAGAAAAATATACTTTTTTCTATAAAAAAAAATTTCAGAAAGTTTTAAATTAAGTATAAAATAAGTTAATACAAACAATGAAGAAAGAATTTGAAGAAAATATCATATTAGAAATCATAAATGAATCGTCTTTACTTTTTTTTTATATAAAAATCTTTACTTTTTTTGTTCCTAATGAATTTGAAGAGAATAAGGCGTGCAAAAAAAAAAAAAAAGTTATTATTATGAAGATAAATATTATCTTATTTTATTCTAAGAAGTCATAATACACTTAAGAAAGATAGAAAATGATAATGTTAAAAATGGAACAACAACCACATAATTATACCTTCGGATAAGACCAAGAGAGTTATGATTGAATTGAATGTCCATTTGATCTGACTGTATCACCCTTGCGTCGTGACTATATTATGTATATATTTTTTCATGTTAACTTTATATATTTTTCAATAACATCATTATATTATAATTTCAAATAATATTTATCTTTTTTCATTTTTTGAGATTGTGATGGACAGAAATAAATAAAGTATGTTTAAAAAAAAAAACATAATTAATAATGGAAAATCGGGTCGACATACACGAATACGAACATAAATTTGAAGTTAGGTTAAAATCTTCAACACGAACACGACTCGCTTATTTTACGAGTTGACATAATATGACATAAATAAATCACAAATTCATAGTGTATCGCTTATTATGCGATATGACACGACACACAAATAATCTGTTTACGACACAAATAATCTCTAAAAAAATTAATGATGATCAATTTCGAGTTTAAGGACATGACATGACACGAATTTTTTCGGATCACTTTTTGTTAACTTAAACATTATATGAAGTTAAAAGCAAGTCAACCCAATACGAATTTTTTATATTATGTTTGTGTCATACCAACAAAATTGTCACCACTAAACATAATATCTCGTCATGTTAATTCTAAAATTGTTATATATATGGAAAAAAATATTTCTGCAGTTACTGCAGATAAGTTATCTGCATTTATTCCCTAAACGACGTTGTTTTGGTATTGAAATCTTAAAAAATTATAAATATAAAGACTATTATAATCCTGAAATAAATTAAAATTACAAAAACACTATGATTTTCGTCCCAAAATAACGTTGTATTGGGTTTACTGCAGATAACTTATCTGCAGTAACTGCAGAAAAAACGAACTATATATATATATATATATATATTTTACAGAGATCACATAAAAAGAAAAGAGAAAAAAAAAAGGACCACATATATATTTTTATATATATATATATATAAGATAATTTTATTTCCCACTACTTCATAGATAAAATCCATATTTATATTTGAATTGCTTACTCTCCTTCGTGTTTTATGGTTAAAAAAGAACTTTCCACAAAAATAAAATAAAACAAAAATGACAGCTTTAATTAATTTATAAGTTTAAGAACGACGCTTTCATATTTGACAATGAAATTTATTATTTGCACATCATACCGGTTCTACTTTTTTAATCCGAGAAAAAAAAAATACGTTACAATATTTTGCTTTATTATTTAATAAAAGATGCTAAAAATAACATGCATCCACGTGTCAGTGTTGCGGGTGAAGGTGGGTGATGTTTTCCTCTCGTGTAAGCAAGAGATTAAAACACAGTGACAGCTCGTACACTGTAATACATGGAATGATTTATCATGCTGATTTAAGTTCGATTTCGATATATATATATATATATATATATATATATATATATAGGATAAAGTGTATATCATTTTAAAAGATCTAAGGTTATGTCATTTTAAGAAAGAGAAACACATAGATAAAGGAGGAAAGATAGTTGACAAAAAAAAATAAAGGTGTGGGTCCCACCTCTTTGAGAGAGTGAAAAGATATAAATTGTGTCATTTAAAAGGATAAACATTTTTCTCATATATATATATATGAGGTAAGATCTTTTGATATCAGTGTCAAATTTCAAATTTGACACCTCATCTGAGAGCAGTTAGATAAAAAAAATCAACGACTCTGATTTGTAAGCACGTAACACCATTGATCTTTTTTGATCTTATAGCTATTAGATGAGGTGTCAAATTTAAAATTTGACACTGGTGTCAAATTATCATACCTCATATATATATATAAGTTATTTATCTTGTAAAGTTATCTCCAGTAAGCTCAAAACGACATTGTTTTGGGTTATAAGATTAAAAAATTATAATGATAAAGACTAATATAACGCTGTAATATATTAGAATTACAAAAATAATTTAATTTTAGCTAAAAAACGACGTCATTTGGGGCTCACCAGATATAATTTATCTCCATCGGTCAGAGAAATCATTCACCCATCAAATTTCAAAATTTGACATTGGTGTCAAAGAATCCTACCCCCATATATATATATATATATATATATATATATATATATATATATATGGGTAAACATTTCTACCGTCACTTTAGATAAGGTTATCTACGGCTACTTCCAAAACTACGTCGTTTTGATTAATAAATGGTGTTTCTGTAATTTTAGGTGAATTAACGAAAGGTGTTTGCGTAATTTTATTTATTTTTGTATCATATATATTTTACTGAAACTCTCTTCGTTAATTTACCTAAAATTACATAAACACCTTTCATTAATCAAAACGACGTAATTTTTGGGTAGCCTGTAGGTAATCTTATCTAAAATAGCTGCAGAAATGATTGTTTGAATACTATGTCAACCGAACACATAATTAAAAACTTTATTTTAATATACTATAGGCTTAATAAAATAATAATAAAACGTGCTTAGCAGAATTATGTAAAAATTAAGGGTGTTGATTTGGACTAGCCATTGCTAACTAGTTGAATGAAAACCGATTTATTGCAGATCATCTGTAATTTGTACTAAAAGAATATTAAATCAATCCAATCTTGTGTTGAATAAGAATTAATTTACCAAAAAATGTACTAATTATTTTTATTGATTAGCTAGCATATTTTTTTTTTACTTATTTAAATTATGTTAGAAATTCAAAACCTAAAAATTAATTATGATAACTTTAAATGTATAAATTAGCTTACTTGATAATGGAAGAAACCCATTTTAAACTAGCGTTATCAAATTTGAAAACTGAATCAAATCACCGATTTAATCAATGAATTACTAGTTCAAATTGCATGAATTAAATATATATAAATATAAAATTAGAAGTGTTTTAGCTAATAATTAGAATTGATTTAGTGATAAAGACTATAAATTATCATAATTTCATTAATGATATTTTTTAAACATGGCTTTAAACTAAACTAAATCAGATTAAGTCAAATTAAATTAAAAATATTAGATTTTTTATTTTATTTTACTTTATTGTATAGAGTTATTTGAGTTTATCCGTATCAATGAGTCGAATTTTGCACCCATAATAAGAAAGTTCGAGACGAGACGAGACAAGAGAGTGTTGGGTACGAAGGCCAACAGCCCAATACCCTATATAGATGTTTACCTTTTCCTTGCTTTAAGGCTAAGAATCTGCTTTTATGAGGACGCTATGAATAAAATGAACGTTAATGTGATGAGTCCTGAGTGAGGGGTTTGTGTTATGTTAACTGTTAAGCTATGTGTAAAGGTTGCGTAGGGAACATGTTTCGGAAAAGAGATGTCGAGAGTGGTGGTGGAGGAGGTGGAGACAGGATCCTCTATCCCATGATGCTTGAGAACCCTCAACTACGTTGGTCCTTCATACGCAAGGTATACTCCATCATCGCCTTCCAGTTGCTACTCACCATCGCCGTCGCCTCCGTCGTTGTCTTTGTTCACCCCATCGCTCATTTCTTTGTTGGCTCCACCCAAGGCTTGGTTCTCTTCATCATCCTCATCATTGCCCCCTTTATAAGTGCGTGTGCTCTGCTACATCTTCATCACTCTCCGATTTGCTTTACTTTCTATATTTTTCTATTGCTTAAATGTTTTATATAAGAATGAAAAAAATTTCTCATTTTAAATTACACAAAGTAATTTCATTTTTAATGAAATTACGGTGTGTTTTTACCTTTTCTCTCCTTCATTTTATTTTTAATTTTATAAATTAGAAAAAAAAGGACAAAACACCTTAAAATGATGCATTTTCATTAAAAATGACATAAAATTGTGTCATTTAAAATGATAAATATTTTTTCTTTATATATATATAAAGAGAATAATGCGTTTATAAATGTTTTTACAAGCTTTTATAAATTACATTATATACTCTCGAGAAAATATAGTATAACATAATATTCTTGCGGGAGAATATAATGGAGTTTGTAAACAAAAATTTATAAATATAATTTTTTCCAATATATATATTAATCTTAATTACCTTTTTGAACTAAATAATTATACTTATTTTCATAAGTTTTTGCTCATTGAGTTAGATACGGAACTAATTCCGAGTTTGGAATGGATCACAGAGTCAGATGAGACTAATTTTGAGTTCGGAATAGATCAAATATTAAGATTTTAAGTCTCTACTTATGATGATATTGGTGGGGATCAATTCGCTTGTTGAGTGAGATATGAGATTAATCCTGAGTTAGAGATGGATAAAAAGCCCTACATAAGACTAATTCCAAGTTTAGAATGAATCAGATATTAAGGTTTTAAACCTCTATTGATGATGATATTTGTGGAGATCGAATCAAGTTCCTTTTTCCATTGATTAAATATTTTATTATTCTTAGTTATATTATTTGTTTTTTTCTTCTTCTTTCTAACAGTTGTTCCATTTTTGTGGCATATTGCAGCTTTATGTCCCCTTTACTATTATCACCAGAAACACCCTCTCAATTACTTCCTCCTCTTTATTTTCACCGTTACTTTAGCTTTCGCTGTTGGATTGACTTGTGCCTTTACTAGCGGTAACATCTCAAAAATCTCTGTTCTCCCCTGTATTAATTTTTTTTGAAATTATGTTATATTATTTGGTTCGACTGTGGTATGAATTTATCAATATATGCATATGTTGCATTTTTATACGTTTACCTATGATTTTGAACATGGTAGAAAAAAAAGTTCATGTTAATTTGATTTTAGAACCGTGTAACTTGTTTGGTCTGCTTTGGTGGTTAGATGTTGGTTAGTTACTTGACATTTGAGTTATTCTGTATACTGAATTCTGATAGCATTTCTAGTTTGGCATGCATGGAGGAGGAGATCAAGCTGTTTTCTGTTACTTTTTATTTTAAAGGTTACTTTAGTTAGGCTCTTGGATTTTATTAGATCAAAGCTACTGCTTTTATTTTCTTTCTTACTTACTACTTAGCTTCGATTTTTGCAATGGAAAATAAAATAACTGTATGTTGGCTTGCTAAGCTACGTTTAGGTTTCATTTTTCAGTAAGAATTGGCAATTTTTCTAATGAGGGTGGAAACTGGATACAGGGAAAGTTATTCTGGAATCTGTCATATTGACTACAGTGGTGGTGTTAAGCCTTACACTCTACACATTTTGGGCCGCAAGGAGAGGCCATGATTTTAGCTTTTTGGGTCCCTTCTTGTTCGGAGCCGTGCTAGTTCTTTTGGTTTTTGCCCTGATTCAGGTATTTTGGTCTTGAAACATATATTATTATTAGGCTATTAGCCTCTAATCTATGATGCTCTGGGACATTTTGTATTCTTAACGTGTGTTCCTTACCTTGCAGATTCTCTTTCCACTTGGTAAGTTGTCAATGATGATCTATGGGTGCCTGGCATCAATTATATTTTGTGGCTACATCATTTATGATACAGACAACCTCATCAAGAGGTTCTCCTACGATGAGTACATCTGGGCATCTGTCTCCTTGTATCTAGACATCATCAACCTCTTCCTTTCTCTGCTTACTGTTTTTAGAGCTACTAACTGAGGAGTTAATTGCAGCAGCATATATTTCCTTGCCTTAGACATATTTTAGTTTTTCTTTTTTTTCTTTTTTCTAGGAACCAGGTTGTTTTATGAAAAAATAATTATTATCAAGTTATCTATTAACATTTCACTGTGATCGTGACGCTGATAGTAAATAGTTGGTTAAACAATGGAATTTTGCATATTACTGTAAATACATTTACCATTGTCTTGTGTTATGCTTTAATGATTTATCTATACTGTGTGGTGATAACTAATGTCCAAATGGGGTTAAAAAATAAAATACTTAATACGATTCTAATAATTTAGACAGCAAATGGTATTTTCTTGCTGAAGTTACAAAGTCCAAGTGAGTCCTTGCAATAGATGATTGTTTGAGGTTAAACATTTGCAAAATAAATCTCAATACATATGGTTTAAATTAAGTTGAGTAGTCAGCATTAGCTAGAGACTGTTGGTAGTGATTAGCATAAGATGAGGAGTTCAATTCCCATATCTATTCTGTCTCTGTGCAACAATGGAGAGAAGCCTTGAAACCCCTCGAGTCCAGATGTCATATTCTCTTTGATTTCTGCACTCGAACTCCACAATCCCCCTTGCGTCTGTCTTCAATCCAAAGTACCTTCGTTTTTCACCATCATCTAACAGATGTCTTCCTGGCCATGCTGGTAAATCCGTGCACACATCTACCACAACATCTGGAAATTCAAGAGCATAAGTCATGTGCTACTATTTATGGCTAGCAAAACAAAGTTGTGAAGTTAATGACAGCTTACTCTTTTTCTTTTTGGAAATGGTTCCTGCAACATGTCTGCTTTTCATTTTCAGCATTACCTGTAATGTTTGCAAACCTTGTGATTGAATGGACATATAACCAATTTCATCTGCTGTGAATTCTTAAATAGAAAAATTACCTGGCCTGTTCGATGTATATAAACAGAAACTACTTTCCAATGAAGATCACCTGCAGTTACCACAAAAATGGAGTTTAATCATTTTGCAAACAAGAGAAAGATTTAGTGCTAGTAACAGCATTTGTAGTTTATTATTATTATTACCTTTACGGGTGCGTTTGAGCAAGTCACTGCCCCTAGCAAGTAGCTCTTGGCTACTGGCACCCAGAAAATTTTCTCCACTGACTATTTCCCCACTATAGCTGGTGCTAGTATTGCTGTTATTAGTATTAACTTTACCACACATTCCAACCCCCCCTATGCCTCTCTCTAGTGGTGTAACTGCTGCAATATTCCATACCTCCTTCAAAGCTCTTGCTTTCAAGGTTGCTGCTCCTCGTAGAGCTGCATATCAAGGACCATAAACAAAAACTGCCAATATAAGGAGACAGAAAATGTAAAAATAAAAATAAAAAACAGGACAATTAATATGTCTCACTACACATGCGAACATGAACATGAGACACCTTTCATCCTTATAGTACCGAGGGACTAATTAACAATGACACTGTACACTCTAGTTGATTCTTGACAGCTGAAACAACTTAATTAGCCATTAACGTTAGCAAAGATCTTGCAAATGTATTTTGGTCTATCAACTTTGGTTAAGAGTAGAATTTAATGGCCCTAATGGTTTGTTGTATTCAAAATGTCCATTAGTATAGGAATTGGATGCTTAATGAGAGCAAAAAGTGTACCTGTAGCAGCTGCAGCTGTAAGAGTACTGATATCATCATGAGAACGGACATTAACAGCTGAGCTGACCACTGAAGCAAGGTATTCACGCTCAGCTCCCATTGCTTCGGCAGCCTCTACACACTGTGCCGCAACTAATGTTGCTGCTGATGCAACAGCCATGTCTGTCTTGGCCATCTTCCCATCCTTGTTGGGTGCAGATGAGGTTGCTGTTGCAGCCGCAATGGCTGCTACAGCAGAAGCCACTGCAGCCACTGAAATAGTAGCATGCAGCTGAGCATTATGGGTTCTGTTTTCTTCTTTCTTCTTTTCTCTTCGGTCTTTCAACCATCTACCAACAGTTTTTGGTCCTGAGCAAGCTGTGCCATTGCCAATAGCAGCACTGGCTCGTCCACCATTGAATAAGGGGTGAATGGAATTGTTTGCCCGAAAAAACTGCATATACATTAATAAGGATAAGCATTACTTTGAGTTTTACATGGTAAAAATCTGCTGACTCTTGAGTAATTTCAACTTCAGCTTATTTTGATTCTTTTTTTTTTTTCCTTTTTTTATTTATTTTAAATATAAGTTTATCATGTTGTACCTGTACTGATTTAACATTATAGAGCTGTTTCAACTTTCACATCAAAAAACATATTATAGAAGTACTGGCATTATTCCCGGTTGTCATCACTCTAGCCACTGGCATGTCTTTTCCTCACTAGTCACTACATATGTTGGTGTTCACTAACTAGTTTCATCAATTTTACAATGAAGAAAACCGAATAAAATCTATGGGACGATAGTACATCATATAGCCAGCTCTTTTCCAACGCAATCCCCCACAAGTTGCATTAAGATGACTATTTTGCTATGTTCTTCCTGAAAACCAAAACAAAAAAATCTCCCTACTGAGAGAAAAAGGTCAAATTGAGAAGGTTATCCACATAATGCGGAGAGAAGGGGTGATTAGTAAATCTCTTTGTCCCGTTGTGAACCAATCAGTATCAGCAAATTGGAGCACATTTTCTGTGCTACCTCCCTTATCAAAAAGGGATATGGGAAAAAATAATCATAAAGTCAGGGTAATATAATTAGGGATATGTTATTCTACCTACTATTTTTTCTGTCTACCTTTGCTTACTACTCTAAAATACCATTAGATCAGAATTTCAACTAATTTTTATCTTTCTCTCTTCTCTTGAGATTCTGATGTATCGGTCTTGAAGAGTGGTAGGTAAAGCTAGGCAGGAAGAAAAAATAGTAGGTAGATTAAACTATCCCATATAATTATATTATTATTTTCCATAAATTGGGCAAGCTGACTGGAATATATGACATCATTAACGGCATGGTGACACACCTTTGATCAGTAATTTCCGTCATTACACACTTCAGCACTCAGCACTCTACTGGTCTCATCCGAAGTCATCTTCAAAATGTAAATTTTGAAATGAAAAAGTGATTGCCTTCTTAAGTGAATCTTCAGAGCTCTGGTTCCAATTTTTTCTTTCCTTTCACACTTCTTTTTCTGTGCAGAGTGGGGGAAGATAAAGTTGATCCTAAGTTACTAAACTCTCACCTCAAGCATAAAGCACCAAGTTCCAACAATTTGTTTTTTGTAGGTAATGAACAAAGGCATTTCTTCCATGCATCCATACCATAAGAGCTAACATAAGCTATATGGGACCCTCAACTTTGTCTGGAAAATCTTATACATATTTTTATGCTCTTTTGTACAAAAAGCAAACGCTGTATTTTCTAGATTTAAAAACAAAAAATGTATTCAATATCATTGATTTTTCAAAAGGACTAAATTAATTGGATATACATATACCAAATTGAGAGTTTCCTCAAAACAACTATTGCACACTATTGAGCTCCATTGGGACCCACCCCACAGCAAAACAAAAGAAAAGGAAAAGAGAGGAGAGAGTGAAATACCTTAACAACGTCGTCAAATTCATCTGAAGGAGAAATTGGAGGGCTATCTGTTCCGGTTAATGAACCACCACCATTCAAAGGCTCGCTACTATGAGATAGTCTACCTGAGGTTAATGGCGAAACTTCCTGTGTTTACATATACAATAATAAAATGAATTCCAAAACCCCATGTGGTGATATATGAAGATTGAAGACTATATACATCAACGGTTCTTCTCTCTGGGTTGAAAAGAATAACATAGTTTAGAGAGTCAAAACATGTGTGTACAAATGTAACAAGAAGAGTAGTGTGTGTGGCATTGTTGTTAAAAAGAGGAATGCAATGCAATGAAATGAATTGTATAAGGTGGAGTTGGTTAGTGAAGAAGACCTCTCTTGCGGACTGTGACATAATGCGTTCAAGGACAAGCTGTGAGGTAGCAGAGGAAGCGAAAGAGAACTGATTCTTAGACACAGTTGAGAAGTCCTGAGAGAGAGAGTGGCCACCACAAGTTTCTTCAGGAATAGGAGGAGTGGTTCCATTTGCAGGGTTGGAAGAAGGAGGAGGAGGTGGTTGAGGTGCAAGAGCTTTTGAGACCTCAAGAGCTGAGGCACTCCATGACCTTGACAGAAACTCCATTGGCACTCGAGGACTCTCCGGCAGATGGCTTCCGCCGGTGGGAAGATATTCCGGCCGGCGACAATTGATTGTGCACTTTGGTTCCATGCTAAGTGTGAAACCGCGTTAGAGAGGTGGCAGCATGAAGCTGTATATATATAGTGCCTCTTTTTTGTGGGGAAGAATTAGGAGTGGTAGAATGTTAATATTCTTCCCTCCAAATCTTACCTGTTTCACTCGTATATATGTATATATTCAATGGGAAAACTACTTCTCCGGCCAGTCAGTAGATAAACTTAAATTGAGTTTAAAATGACGTCGTTTTAGAGTTATAAGATTAAAAAATTATAATAATAAAGACTAATATAATCTACAATATATTATAATTACAAAAATACCTTGATTTTCACCTCAAAATGACGTCATTTTGAGCTCACCAGAGATAACTTATCTCCATTGACTGAAGAAATTCTTTACCCATATTCAATTTAGATAATTTTTTCTTTTTGGATTTCTCTTATTGGAAATTTCATGCATTTCCTGTGGACTAATTGGTATTCGGGAAGAGTATAAGATTAAGACTTTAAACTATTCTCAAATATAATATTGGAAAATGATCGGATACATGCTTTCGCCCCACAATTACTCAAAAAGTGATTTGATCTTCGAATTAACTATGACCCATGTCATTCTTATTTTATCTATATTTAAATTTTGAATTTAAATAATTTTCAATTAATTGTGTATATACTTTTTTATTTAAAATTATGGGGAAGGATATTGTAACAATCAAGTAGGGTTAATAAAAATGTTATTACTAATAAAATCACCGTTAGATCGATTATGTTGATCCAACGGTTATATTTATTTCCAATTTTGTATGGTTATGATTTCCCATATTTAATACTTTATATTTATTTCCACATTTGTGTGATTATGTTTTTCATATTTAATATTTTCACATTAAATTGAAAAATCATAACCATACAAAGATAAAAATAATTATAACCGTTGGACCAACATAATTGATTTAACGGTGAAATTGATTAGTAGTGACCCTAATTGATTGGTACAATATTTTACCCCTAAAATGATATATAGAGAGATAGGATCATTTGACATCAGTGTCAAATTTCAAATTTGACATCTCATCTGACAAATTAGAGTCGTTGATCTTTTTTTATCTAATGGCCCTCAGATGAAATGTCAAATTTCAAATTTGACACTAGTGTCAAATGATCCTATCTCATATATATATATATATATATATATATAGGTAAAATCATTTTTGCAGTCGCTTTACGTACAGTAACGACATGTGTATGTTAATGATTCCCCACATTTAATGCTTTCATCTTTTGTATAGTTATGATTTCCCGCAGTTAATGTTTTCACGTATATATATGGCAAGTATTTAATTACTGCACATACAGCAGCTGCAGAAATGTAAACCATATATATATATATATATATATATATATATGAGTTTTTTTTTTTTTGAATCTTGTTTTATACACATAGAACTAATGATGGGATCCATCCCTTTTACTAAAAAAAAAGGACACAAAAATCGAAGTGAAAATAAAAGAAAAAAATTTCTCATGTCATATGGAGAAATAAAACTTTTACATTTAAATAAAAAATAAGAATTTCACGAAAAGAGTTGATTCAAGTAATACATATTTAATTCCAGTGATTTTGAGTTCAAGTTTTTATAAATACAAAAAATCTCCCTTGGGAGAGTGAGCACCATCACAATATTCCCCACTTGAATAAGATTGTTTCTCCGAAAAAATATACGTGGTTTATTAAAAATAAGAAAATAAGAGCTTCAAATACAGTACAAGAGTACATTTTGGTTTGGTGCTGCAACATGGTTCACTATTCGACTAAAACCAGAAAGAATGTTGTTCCAGGACCATTAGGGTAGACACTGCGGCTCTAGCATTACAACAGGAAAATTTCAGAGTATATAGGCTTTTTGGGAAGAGCCAAGTTATGGTGTTCCTTCGTGTTGTAGGTGTTGGCAACGTCCAAGGTCGACAAGTTAGGAAGTGCAAACAAGTTTTAGCAGAACCATTTTTCTACACAGTATTGGTCTATTGGACACAAAAGCTGAGTTCCAGAAGGGGACCTGTCCTAAAATGCGCGTGCCTAAACACATCAGCAGCTGCTGCTGCTTCTGCTTTTTCAATTTTTCATCCATTGGTATGAACACAATCTCACTACCCTTTAATAATTTTCTGAACAAAGAAGCATAAAGGAATGAGAAACCACAGAATTTGCTTTTAGGTTTGAATGTATTTTGTTCTCACCTTCATAGCTACTGACAAAAGGTATAAGCTTTATTCCTTTTGCCTCATTTTCTCAACAATAATTGTTCCCTTTCGATTTCAGTTGCAATCCAAATGTGCTTTGTTGTTATTTTTTTGTTGTTTTCAAGAGACAGATTTTTTATTTTTATAAAATGAGTTACTTTTTAAGTCGATTTTGGCTACCCTTTTGGACCACTAAGTGATAAAGCAAGACCTACCTACTACCTAATGACTAATTCGTTGCACAATAAGTATATAGACATTTTTTTTGGAAACAGTGGTCAAAATGTCACTTTTCATTAAGTTTTTTATCCAAATGTCACGCGGGCAAGTTCGTTACAGTACCTAGCGAACTTGGTAGTCAATGATTTTGTTACACGTAGCACATTTTCGTAAGAAAAGTTGACTGCCACGTGTCCAAGTTCGCTACGACTGGTAGCGAACTTGGTAGCCAATGATTTCGTGACACGTGGCACATTTGCAGGAAAAGCTGACTGAACGAAATTTGCTACCAGGGGTAGCGAACTTGGTGTGCTATGTGGCACAATCTCGTTGCCCGATCAGAATTAATGTTCCAATCACAATAAAAAACAGAAAACGAAGGAAAATGACAATTAATTGTCATTAATGTATTGATCACAATTAATGTAACAATCATCAATCACAATTAATGTATCAATCGCAATTAATTTTGATTGGTACATTAATTGTTTGTGATACTATTGTTACAAATTCGAACGATGTTTGTGAGAGATAAAATATGCCAAATGATGTGTCATTGAGTAGATCCCGATAAATTATGTGAAACAAAATAAAAAATATCTGATTTGGATATCCGAATTAAGAGTTATGGCCCTCTGAAGTGATTGATGATTTATACATTAATTATTATTGATACAGTCAAAAGTTAATCTCATTGATATGCTAATTGTGATTGGTGATTGATACATTAATTGTGATTGGTGATTAGTACATTAATTTTGATTGGTACATTAATTAAAGTCATTTTCCTTCGTTTTCTTTTTTTGATTGTGATTGGTACATTAATTCTGATCGGGCAACGAGATAATGCCACGTAGCGCACCAAGTTCGCTACCCCTGGTAGCGAACTTCGTCCAGTCAGTTTTTTCTGCAAAAGTGTGACACGTGTCATGAAATTATTGGTTACCAAGTTCGCTACCAATAGTAGCGAACTTGGACACATGTTAGTCCACTTTTCCTGAGAAAATGTGTCACGTGTAACGAAATTATTGGCTACCAAGTTCGCTGAGCACTGTAGCGAACTTGCCCGCGTGGCATATTGAAAAATAACATTGTTCGTGTGGCATTTGGGTAAAAAACTTAATGAACAATGACATTTTGGTTACTGTTCTCATTTTTTTGTTTCTTTTACCCCAACCCCACTTTTGTTTTCCTTCGCTTTTCTTTTTTTCTTTTTTTCGAAAATTTGCAAACTCCCCGTACACACAACACACACTCGTTTCACTTTCAAGTTTAGTTGTGCAATGCGCTACTTATTCATGGCCAGACTAAGGTAATATTCCTCTAATTAATGGGTGCATGTTGATGGTTTAAGCCAAAGCTTTGAGTGAATGAAAGCACAACATTCCCGACAGACATCTCCTGACACAAAAACCACATACAAGCATTGAGAAACCAAAAGAGAAAAGGAATAAAATGCACGTTGATTCTTTTGTTTGCTATATAGAGACTTTAGTGCGAGCGAATGAAGACCGGTTGCACATGAAGTAGCCAGCGTAATCAACCTTAAAAGCATAAAATAGGCAAGTGGGAGGAGGAAAAATGAACTTGATTCATGTACACCATTATTTAATCATATATTGCTACACCATTAAAAGAATTTAATTACAACAAAAATTATTTTAAGAAATTGAACATTTTTAATTTATGTCTATTAAATGTAGTGAGATTTTTACACTAAAAATAGATCAAAATCAAATTCAAAACGAAAAAGGGTAGAAAGTTCTTCGGTAACAGTTATAAGCAGCTTCCCAAATTTTATACCATTCTATTAAATGCAAAGCAGTGTCTGAATTGTTGCTTTTGAGATTATGTCAGCAGATTCAAAAAGGACAATTCTCTCATTGGGATCATATATATCTACAAAGATGTATACCTCTAGTTGGAGTTGGTGATGGACATTCCTCATTCCCAAGTAATAACATGATGCAGGAAATGGATTTTTTTTAGGGAAATATTAATCTTATGTTACATGAGAGTATTATCTCATGTTATAGAGAGAGTTTAAGTGGGGTCCACCATTAAAAAGTAAAAAAGAAAAAGAAAAAAGAAGGGGTGCGATTTTCGATGTGATAGAAAATGAGATAACTACCTCATGTAAAATGAGAGTAGTATTTCCTTTTTTTTATCGTCACTAAATAAGATGGCAAAAGAAAGAAGGAAGCTACTCCTGTTAGAACAGTGAATATAGCATTATTTTTCAATATATTTTTTTGTACAATGATGACTATGAGCTTATAATATATAATCTCATGTAAATTAATCAAATCCCTACCACTAGCCCACTCTTAGTGACTTATTTTCAATATTTTTAAATTTCATGGAAACGTCACCTCACCGAGAGGTAGCAAAATCAGAATATAAATATGCAAAAGAAGAGATGAGACGTATTGTAATCATGTAAAAACTTTATAATGTAAAGTAATGAATATGTAAGTAATATGTGTATAATATTATTCTATATGAAGCATACCCATTATCCCAGTACAATGTAGATTTCATGGAAAATGCCAATGCCAATAATAAAAGCCACACTTCAAATTCTGTTCCCAAATATACAATTATTAATATACTAATGACTATATTAAGTGCATGAGAAAAACTTAGACCAGTGTTTCTTTAAAGCTCTTGGTCAACCAAATAGCTATTTCCCTTGAAGAAACCTTCTCAGGACCAAATGGCTTCAGCAACACCCCAAGCTCTTCAAACCTCTGTTGCTGTAGTAGCCGGGCACTGAACTCCAACAACCCCTCCAATGCCTCCGCACGTTGCTGGTATGATGAGGTGTCAAATCGACGCTGATGCAACTCAGCAGAAACACCAGCTGTCACATGCTCAGAGCATTCACTACCCTTTAGACGTGGAGCATTAATAGTGGTAGGGACAGTAACTTTGTCCACCTGGATTGTACACTTGTCCTTTGTGATTGTGCAATCAGCACTCCCTGCTGAGCTAGAAGAGCACTGTGCCAAATCATCACAAGAGGCCATTGAGAATTCTTCAATCTTGTCAAATCGTGGTGCATTAACAGAAACATCTGGAGAGTGCACATTTCGAAGGAGACCAACATTGGTGTAAAAGCTTGCTGTGGCCGTGGCTGTTTTAGGAAGTGGAAGTGATGCTCTATGAGTTGGTGGGGAAAACTTTACAGATGGTGCATTAGACGCTGGAAGCTGAAATGATAAGCAAACGTAGATATCAATATATAGCCTGGTTCAGTAGTAACATATGAACTCTCTTCATTAAGTCAAACATTGTCAACCTCATCACCAATTAAGCTCTACGGGAAATTAATGAAAAAGTAATTTCTAATGAAATTTTACAAATATCCAATGTCATCAGCATGCTAATATAGGAAGTACACACATTCACACATTAATGCAGCATGCGCACCTTGCCTATATGTATTGTGACAAAAATTCAAATATCAAAGACATTATCTAGGAAAATACAAACCCAATTTTCCCTGTATCAAAAAGTTATGAAATTATGATCTGAAGATGAAATAAATCTCAACTCCCATCAATGGGAATAGATTGAGAAGTTAATTCTATCAGTTCAGCATGAGTTCAATTATTTTTCTTTTTCATTATTCTTTATATGGTAGCCATCGAGAGAAATGGAAATATTGAGTCATACAAAGCAAAGACTTACTGAATCATGCTTTGAACTAGTTCTGGATATTTTTGTTGGTGCCATTGTGTGCCTTCTCGCAGTAGCAGAATCCTTAGCTGCTCTTAATCTTGGTGTTCTCTTAACAGTTGAGGACTTTGTGGCTTTCGATTTGCTAGTATTGCATTCGTCAAAGACACAGGCAAAGGATTGTTCGTAGAGCTTCTCTTTTGAACAAGTGGATAATCCATGTGCTCTTTGAGTAGAACACTGAGAACCTTGTTCAGTTCCAGAAATACTAGGATTCAAGGCCCTGTCATTGCTTAATGACAAGCGTTTATCTTGATCAGAAAGAGTAGAAATAGATTCTGGCTCTATAAACCGAGTTCTCCGTACATAGTTTGACTCAGGCCATTGGAACGGAAGTGTACTTCTGGGGTTACTTAATTTTAGGTGAATTTTATGTATGTATGGCTGAAGATGTGGATGATTTAGTAACTCTGCAGCCTGTCAAAACAAAATGTGCTTAATTTGTTTTCAATAGATCCACCGAAATAAACTTAGCCAAGGACCAATGCCATGCAGAATTTGCATAGACAAGTTATGTAAGGGCGGTGCATAGACAAGTTATGTAAGGGCGGAAAAAGAACAAAGAAAACTTCAGCAAACAATTAAATTTGCAAATATAGCAATGTCTCACATTGTGGACATTTGCTTACTTAAGAATACGCTTACACTAGTAGTTTTAACTTTCAAGGTTTGCTTCATAAAACAGAAGTGAGAGTTAAACTAATAATGATGACAACAACTACAAAAGACAATAACAACAAATTAAAACTATCATATTTGGTCAACACAAGAATAGCTGGAGAGAACAAAAGCGAAGATACGCATGACCTTATTAGGTATATCACATGATTAACAAACTTACTGCATCCAAAAGTAATGTGAAAATGGAAATGAAATGCAAAGGAGTAGAGGTCTAAACAAATGGTCCTATAACTAGCCTTGTGGCTTTTGAAATACATGCTGGCAGATGCTTTTCTCTAACTATTTATTTATACTTACTCATAAGCAAGGTTAGAAGGTTTTCCCCCTTAAAAAGTGAGGGAAGTGGCAGCCATATAATTTAAGTTTTAACAGTTTTTAATAAATAAAAATGTGAAAGTTAGAGACCAAATTAGAGTATATAAATTACATCCAAGGATATGATGGTAATCACAAAAACAACTATCTTCTTTTTCCTCTAACTTACTATTCCTATAAAGTAAAGGCAATGAATTATTTTAAAATTTAAATCTCTCAACAATTGTTTGCCTCTACAAATTTTAATCCTCTAGATCTCACTGAACACTGCCAAGCATAATAACTTCAATCAATATACTTTCAGGATTGTTTTGACATAGAATTTCTCTTCTAATCAATAAGTATTGTTAAGTAGAAGTGTAAAGCTAGCTCCAGTTCCTGGAATACCATCCATTTATGTTTTTCCCATTACACATTTTCCAGAATCCAAGTCTCAAGTGACTCAAACAACAAGAAAATAGTTCATTGCAGCACATGAATCTTGAAAAGTAATGTACCGTAAGAATAAAGGCAGAGAAAGGAACACTAAGAAGTTAATCAAGAAGAATTGCTCCGTCTTTCAACACATAAGGTGAAAAACTAAAAGCTAAAATTATTTTTAAAAAAATGATGAGAGAAAGTATGAGACCACAAAAATCAAAATTTGCATTTGAATTTGTCAGACTTTGATGACATCTGGTTTATATTTATCACTTAAAGACAATTAGATGTAAGCCACTAGACAATGACATATGTGTACCAGTTTTCTTCTAAAGACAAGTTCTTATGTAATAATCAATGTCTCATAAATGCAAAGAAATGCGCAAGGAAAAGATAAAACTTACAGTTGGCCTAAGCTCTGGATTTTTTCGCAGCATACTTTTGACAAGCCGTCGGCTGAAAGAAGAAATATATATTACAATAAGTTACACAAATCATGTCATTGAATGAGGTCCATAGCTTAAGTGGGAAGAATTATAACTGCAAAGATCAAATGATCGAGAATGAGAACCAATGAGAAATATACAGTCCATGCAGTATTTCAGGTTAAACAGAATAGGGTTGCTCACTGCTAAAAGAGAGTTGCCATTGCAAAATGTATAATGATAAACCAATACCATGAGTCCATGTGTTAGGACTCATTTGCAAGGTATGGGACTTGAAGTGCCACATTTGGTTGTATGGGCAATGTGGGGTTTATAAGGCCTTGGATACTCCCACCCATTGAGTTAGCTTTTGGAGTGGTGCATCCCAAGGTTCTTATCAAATGGTATCAGAGTATTCCACTATGTCTCCCGATTGCAATCGAGCAGCGCGGGTGGTGACCTTGGCATTGCAGAGTTCACCCAGAGCTAGTAAAAGACTAGCGCAAAGTGGGGCTGCAGAGCATAGTAGGACCCATTTGCAAGTTATAGGACTTGGAGTTCCACATTGGTTGTATGGGCAACTAACATGAGATTTATAAGGCCTTGAGCACTTCCACCTTTTGAGCTAGTTTTTGGGGTGTTGCATTCCAAAGTTCTTATCACCATGACAGAATTACATGCCATCCTTCTAGTTCTGTCATAAATAATGAATGGTACTATTGTGTGAATCGTCTATATTGAAAGATGTTGTCATGTTTTAAGTCACGTAACTCTTTAACAATTGACATAGATCAATATGGATGGAAGAACACTTAAATATCCAATCCACAATAATTTTGAAAGTCTATCTAGGAGGACATAAAATCTAATGGTAGGTCTGGTAAACTAAGAATGCATAGGAGGGGCATTGCTAATTTGATCAATATTTGCATGCATGCATGCTCAAATAAACCAGGGCATTGACGTTTTTCAAAATCAGTAGGTATGGGTTCTAAGTGCTAACATATCAGTTAGATAAAGCAGGAAGACACAAAATAGTTCTAAATAAGATTCTCGTGAAACAGAGGACTCACAAGGCACCAGAATACATAGTTGGCAGTGGAACTACTATAGACTTGTTTATTTTCATAATCAATGCTTGAATATCCTGCTCAGATGAAGACAACAAACAAAAAATAAAATATCAATTACTTTATGTTGTGCTCCAAACTTTAGAAATGTAAAATACTGAAAGTCAAATGCTTTCCAAAATAATATAACTCAAAAGTCTCAAACATCAACATGAACGCTTATAATTCAACAACACAATGTTAAGAGTTTTAAACAAATTATTGCACCCCCAGTAAATTCTCCTACTTAAGATTAAAAAGTTTTGCGAATAAACATTTCATTTTTGGAAAACAAAAATTGTGAATACAAAAGCTTAGGATAGTAACTTACAAAAGCTTTAAAAGTGGGCTTGTGAGCAGCCATTTCATGAATACAGCATCCTGGCAAACGTTATAAGCCATCACAAACGAGAAATGCAATTAAAAAGATATTGTAAAGGTTAGGCAATCTCAGGAGTACCAAAGAAAGCTATCCTACCCAAAGACCAGATATCTGACTTAGAGCCATATGGTAGATCAGCAAGAAGCTCCGGGCACATATAACTTGGAGTCCCAACAACCTAAGTTTAGAGCAAAAGTACACAGTAACTAACCAAGAAAAAATTCTGAAACAGTGAACAAAGCAGTATTTTGGCAATATCACTCACTGAGGAAGCAAGATCATCAGATGTCATCATTTTAGCTAGACCAAAGTCACCTGCATCCAACATGCATAACATAAGGATAGCGTAGTACAAAACAAGGCACAAGTTAGAGACATCCAAACTCTAAACACATTCATTAAGAGGACAATTATGTTAGGATAAAATGGGCAAGGCCATTTACCTAGACGTATATCTCGATCTTTCGTCAAGAATATATTTGAACACTGAAACAGATGAGGAAATAATATCAACACAAAGCTGGTCGTCGAAGTTCTTTGAGATATTAGCTACATAACATCTACTGTTATTGAACTTAAAATAGTCCTTTACCTTGACATCACGATGAAGAATATGATTTGCATGCAAGTATTCAAGTGCCATCAGCAATTGCACAAGCCACTGACAAAGCTTCTGTTTGCAAAAGTTTATAGACATCATTTATTTCATGTAGTTTCAAAGTGCTCGGAAATGGTGATGAAAATTACCAAAGGCTCAAAAGTAAAAGGAGTTGCTGCAAGAGTGACCAACCTCTTCAGGAAAGTAAACACCATTAGCCTTCTTTATAGCTTCAGCCCTGTACAACAGAGATAAACCATTGAAAGACTACATAATTGGCAGGTAAAAGATAGCAATGTTTTAATAAATGCCCTGACTTCCTCAAATACTTGAATTCAGTACGAATCATGACTTACATATCTCCTCCTTCACAATAGCTGATGACGATACATACAAAACAACCCTGGAAATGAAGACACCAACTTGCCAATTTTAGTATTAGGAATCAATCAAGATTATAAATTCATATGATGGGTTGCAAAAGAGGTTTTACTGTTAAGATCACAATTAGTATGATAAAAAAAATAAGCATTCACAAACAGAGAAGTAAAGAATAAATCATTGAATTTGAACAGTTCATAATAAGTCACTTCTGTCAAAACATAAAACTAAAATTTAGACTCCCAGCACTCTTAGTAAGTCAGGAAAAAACACACACAGACATACCCAAAACATGAAAAGCAACAGAATCAGAAAGTTCTGACCTTTTCTACCCAGGAATCTTTATACTCCACAATAAATGGATTTCGAACTTTAGATATAAGCTCCATCTGCAAAACAAGGAACCAACAAACCATCTTACAATCTAATAAATAAGAAAGACAACATAAATATCATTATCACATTTTAAGATATAAAACAACGAGTAGAAAGAAATTTATTTTAAATATCACATTAAAATTCATATGTAAACTTGACTAAATGAATAAACTCTGGCTTAAAGATCAACTTCAAATTTTCAAGCTGCAAAAAACCCAGTAAAACACAATACAGAAAATGTATAAGAATGAATGTTATTTTCAACATCACAACATACGCATTCCATACTCCCTTCCAGAAAAAGGACAATTATTCATTCAAATCCAAAGAAAGAATTAAGCCACTTAAGAACTTGATTCAGTTTTCCTCCAACAACTGAAGATCAGGAAGTAAAAAGGAGAATGGATTACCTCCTGGTAGGCGGACCTACGGCTTCTGTCAGTTTGGCGAGCAAGGCGGATCTTCTTGAGGACATACCTAAAATGTAAACGACATCAGTATATAAATTACACCATATGATATAACAGCTTATCAGTATAACGAAATGTACAAGTCCACATATAAGTACTTAACAAATTAATCTGCAAATTGCAAAAGGATATATAATATCTTAAATCACATTTCAATGTAGGGATTGGAATGATCCTTACTTTTTCTTTTCGAGCTTGTGCCTCACTAGCAGAGCAGAACCAAACGCACCTTTGCCAATCTGTTCTAGAATTTCATACTGCTCCATTTGAACTAAAATCACTTTATCTCCTACTACCATTTGTAAAGTGACATTCCTGGAAATCTTGGCAACAACCACAAAGTAATATTAACAGACGAACCCATAATGTAACATAATTCAATGCCTCAACCAATATCTTGAACTATTTACCGTAACAATAAATGACAATCAGAAAACAATATGATGAACAAAATTTTCTTGGTTGCCCTAGTCACTCCAAGTAATAATGTTACCTGACCAAGTCTACCACAGGGGAATTGAAAAATCATTTTTCAGACTTTTACCTCTCTCATTAAGGGAGTCATTATTTCCAAAACATAACCCGAAGTTTCTGCATTGTCACACTACGCACATAGTTGCCTAAGAAGCATAAAAAGACCTACCATACAAAATATGTGCAATAAAGTGCACCAAATGGATCAACCAATAACACTTTGGTTTTTTTAACTTCCTTTAATTGTTCATTGTCATATCTGTCAACAGTGAAGTTTAGCTTCAAGGGCAATCACTCAGCACAGCTGAGTAGGCTCTCCCTAAGATCTTCGGTTCCAAGGATTGATCATTTTTGTGTATATCTACTTATTAATCTTACCCAGGACCAAAGACAATTTTACAACACCACCCCCTCACCACCAAAAAAAGAACCCCAATAAAAAAGGATTATATTTTTAGGGAAAAAAATTCAAACTTGCTAACTAAAAAGTTGAACAAAGCGCAGAAGATCAACTTCAAGCAGAAACCCAGTTAGATATGACTTTTCAAGTCATCGTAATTACAAATAATATGGCCATAGTTGAGAGTATCAAATAGACAGTTATATACCCCAACTTTTGACAAGCTGCGAAATTCGACTAAGAAAGTGCTGGGACATCGTTCATGTTAGTATTCATGAAAATTTAAAAAAGAAACGGAAACAAACATGAGAATGGGGAGAGAGAAAGAAAGAATTCCCAGTAACATAGACATAACAGAACAAAAAGGAAGTAACCAAAGAAACCCACAACGTAAAGACAGAAAACAACAAGAGCAGGAATTTGCAATGAAATGTTACCGGAGTTCATGAAAACACAGTTTGGCAAAGTTAGAGAGGAATATGTAGTTCCAACTTGCAATGATGAGAAATGTGCATACGTGGTATATTATATTATGTTATATAATAGACAAAAGTATTTCTCCTTCTGCGGCTCTAGTGCTCTACCACATTACGTGGACGTTGGGTCCTGATTTTTAAAAAAAAAATCCGTCGGCAAATGGCGATGAATATACGTGCTAATTAACATGATCATATCAAATGAGGCAATCATAATCATACATGGATGAGAGTTAATTGTGATAAGAGAGGAGAGAAAAAAAATATAAGGATAAAAAATCATGCAATCATCACCGTTGATTTACTTATTAATGATTAAGATCTTTTCACATGACATAATCACGTTTCCATTTCCATATATGTATGACAAATTACGTAGTTATAATATTAAAGTGAGATTTTTTTTACTTTTTACATCATCTGACAAGTCCTGAAGAAAAAAATATAATTTATTATAATTATATACTTTTCAAAATATATAGTTATTGTTACGATCTGATAGATCGAGATATCTAATCACAAATTGGTATTTTTTATATAGGATCTGTTTGTCGAGGTACCTTAGAGATCAGCGAATCACTGCACACAATAATAAAGACGACATAGTCAATGCGTGGGATGTGTGCACATAGACAAGCTAAGAGAGAGTGTAGAGTGTGTACCGTATTGGCTTAATGCTTTATTTATATAGGGGTTACTTGGCAAGAATGAACTTCTGGGCGTCTTAGGAGTATTGGGGGTTCAATTATTAATCCATTGCTGTCGTAGTAGGATTAGTATAACAGAAAAATATTTCTGCAGTTACTGCAGATAAGTTATCTGCATTTATTTCCAAAACGACATCATTTTGGAATTACACGATTAAAAAATTATAATTATAAAAACTATAATAACCCTGAAATAAATTAAAACCATGATTTTCGTTCCAAAATAACGTCGTATTAGGCTTACTGCAAATAACTTATCTGCGTATAATTAAGGAATATTTTTTTAATTCTCTCTTAACTGTTAGCCTTACTTGAATCTTCTAGAATGTGGATCTTCATCAGGCCCATAACAGTTATAAATAATTAAAATAACATAATTTATGAATAAATTATTTTTCCTATAATATAATGGCAAAAGTATCTCTATCACATATATATTTTTATCAAGATTCGACGTTGAATTCTAATATTTTTAAAATAAAAATAAAAGATGTATATCAATTGATAAATTTGTCTGTTTCATATGAATCTTTATGCCACCGCACAGAAAAATGGAAACATAATATGATATGATATAATTTAAAAACAATCAATCAATTATTAGAAAGAGAGAGAGCGCCAAAACAATAGATGGATTAGAGTGAACGGAAAAGCGACGTGCAAATTTAAATATAATCAAAACAGAGACAGACAGACACAAATAAAAAGTGCAAAAGCGTCTTCGTGGTTCGTGGAAAAGGAAAGAAAAATAAAAGTGCACGGGTGGGTGCCATAGCCCATATCATATGCCATATGGTATCCTATTCACCGCCGAATCAGATAAGCACCCCACCTTTTCCTTTTCCCTTTCCTTTTTTTCTGAAAATAAATGTAATGTCGTTCTTTTTATCTGTATGATAATAGCATTTTTTTGGTATGACAAATTTAATTTTCTTTTTCATAGGACGGTACAGTAACTCTACGGGGGTAAATGGATTGAGTTAATTTAGGTTTTGCTTAAAAAAATCAGATTTACTTAAAATATTTTAAGTTTAGCCAAGGATAACATAATATAAATTAAATTGTAAGTCTGACGTGAATTATATTTAAAAAATAAAAAATTGATCTATATTTATTAATCTATTTAAGTCTTTTATCACTACAAGAATTAAAAAATAATTAAAATAATATAACTATATACAATTATTTACATAATAATTTTATTTGTTCAATTTAAAATAAAAAATATGTGTATGTCAATCTATATGCTTATAGGTCAAACTTACAAAAAAAAACATATAATTTGCTTTTTAAATAAAAAATTTTAAGGTTTGAGCCAGTTTTATTTTACAAGATATAATAGATCAATTCTAATCTACTATATATCAAGTTGTAGACTTCTGATAGGCCGTCTAATCCAATGTTATAAAAATTGGACCGACCCGAAAACTGGTGAACCGGTCATATAACCGTCCGGTTATCATATTGGACCGACCATGTTATAGAACCGGTGTGACCCGGTGCGACCTGGCCAATTTTTGTAAAAACCGGTGACTCGATTGGTTCAATCGGTGACCCGGGACGGTCTATAAAAAAAACTAATTTAATTTCATAAATTAATGCCTTTTTTTTTACTCTCAAACACAAATGGTTTGTTTTCTTTTGAAATATTTAAGTGATTTGTAGCTTATTAACTTACATAGATTATGTACCTACAACACTAATATTATCTTGATTATGCACTATGTAGAGAATTTTGATTTGATTTATAGTTAGAGATGTCGTTTACTGAACCTGAAACACTAGTATCACAAATATTATATGTTTGACTGGTTTTTTGTTGGACAATGATGTGTAATTTATTATTTTCATATTAAAATATTTGAAATTGCTATATTTTTTTACAAGTATTTAAGTATATTTATTAATTTTTTTATATAAATTATAGATTTATATATACTTACCGGGTCATGCGATTGAACCAGTGATCCACTGGTTGAATCGGTGACCCAATACCTCGACCGGGTCAATAACCGAGCCGGATTTAATAACATTGGTCTGACCTAATAACAATATATTCATGATTTATGTTAACATTATTCCTTGGGTTGAAAATATATTAATTTTCATAATTTATTAAATAATAATTAAACTCAATTTAAATTGATTAAAAAATTATATTTTAATGATAAAAACTAAGTTAGTATTAGTAATCAGGTTAAACAAATCAACTTTTCTCAAGCCCATGAATCAAGTTTAACCCGCAAAAAGTCACAATTTTGTAGATTTTCTATATTATAGTTAGGGTTCATATTTTCTTGTGTTGTAGGAAAGTAGGAGAGAAAAAAGTATAGATAAGTTAAATGTGAGTCCCACATTTTATATTAAAAAAGAAAAGAAAAATTAATTGGCACGGAAAACGAATTTGTGTAGGAAAAAGTTCTACTCTCATGTAGAAGGAGAATATGATTTCCTTATAGTTATTGCATAGATTGCCGAATTTGTAGAAATTTAAATGAAACTATAAACATATATTTATTACTTTTTATTTGTATAATTATTTTTTGGGTTCACTAGTTACTGCATATAAGTTATCTGCAGTAAGCTCAATACGACGTCGTTTTGGGACGGAAATCATGGTGTTGTTGTGATTTTAATTTATTTCAGGGTTATAATAGTCTTTATATTTATAATTTTTTAAGATTTCAATACCAAAACGACGTCGTTTTGGAAATAAATACAGATAATTTATCTGCATTAACTGCAGAAATATTTTTCCCTTATTTTTTTAAATAATGTTGTTGAATTACTATTTTAACCCGAAAGATATTCTCACTTAATCAATTTGCTCAAAAAACGGCCTTGGAATCAATTCTTTGTAAAAATAAATGGTGTATTAGGGTGAACGAGACAAATATTCTATTCCTGATAGTGTTTTTGAAAATAAATATTTTTTTTCTATTTTTATAGTTTTTGAGAAGAAGAAAATATGTTTTATAACATGTTGTACTTTTAATCCAAGAATGAGAATTATGTTTGATAACATAATAAATAATAAAATACAAAAGTATTCTTATTAAGCATAAATTTTTTTTGAATTATCACTTTTCTTTTCATATGGTGTGATAGGGGTGGTACAATGATAGTAGTGGTGGTCGTATCGTGATGGTGGTGGTGGTTGTTGGAAATCGACAATCACGCAAATCACAAATGAAAAGAAAAAGAGAGAGAGAGAAAGATAGAATAGACACGATGATTTACCCCTAGTTCACTCAATTTAGGCTATGTCCAACTTATCTGTACTATATTCACCTCGCAAACGAAAAGAGCAGGACCACAATTGCCTTTATGTTGACCCCGACAACAAGGGCCTTCATCAGCATGCGAAATATGAGTCATACCCAACAGAGGTATTGATGTTAGTAGTAGTGGAGAGTGATTGAGAGAGACAAGTGTTTCTCATTTTGTGTCGGAGCAAAAAAGTAGAGTTTTTTTTATTCTTTTTTGTGCTCTCGAGCACAAAAATTGAATCGGTTCATTCTCTGGAACAAAAAAATAAATCAGTTTTGTCAAACACTGTTTTATCCATTTCTGTTTCTGGAACAAAATTTGTAAAAAAATTAATGTAAAGAACCATTTCAACCCAAAACCTTAAGGTGTTGGGTGAAGATCTTTTTAATGGTTTATATTATTCTCTAACACACCCCCTCACGTAAGAGTCATTTGGGCTTGAAGCGTGAATATTACATAGACCCAATTTTTTTGGTTGGTTTATCTTATACTTATTTAATTTCACAAGTAAGGGGCGATGATGATCAAACTCGTGATCTTACAGTCATTGAAGCTTTGATACCATGTAAATAAACACTTCAACCCAAAACCTTTAAGTGTTGGGTGAAAGTCTTCTTAATGATTTATATTATTCTCTAACAATTAATTTTGAGAAGGTTGTCGTGTACACCCTTAAATTGAAAATAGGGAGAGACTACGAAATTTTGTTTTAGCCCGAATGAATCTTTTTAAGAATCAAATATGAAATTCAATCTCGAGGACACATTCCGCTAATCAAGTATGTTACCCCTTATGTTTATT